GCCGGCTTGGGCCAGGTGCGGCCGCCAGCCTCGCCCGGCCCCCGGAGCCGCGGCCAATGGGCTCCCCGTACCCCCGGCCCCTCCCAGCCCCTCCGCGCGCCGGGGACGCACAGAAGCCGCATTCAGCGCGTCCGGGGCTGCGCTGCGCCCCCGCCGGCGGCCCAACAAGGCGCGTTTGTCTCCGACGCGCCAACGGGGCCATTGTCCCGCCGCCGGACCCTGAGGCTCGGCCGAGCTCCCGGCCCCGAAGGGGATTCGAGGGTGCCTGGGAAACGGGATGGCGTGGTGGTGGTGAGGGCAGTCCAGCTCTGGGGGAAAAGGAGGCGGCTAGGTTAGTTGGTTTTTATTGGGGGTTCTGGAGTCCCGAGAGTATCCAGTGGAAAGTGTGGCCCCCTGCTCCAGTCAGTGCAATCTGAGGACACGTTTTTGGCTTCTGAAATATGGATGGGGTGGGGGTGGGGTGCCACAATTTCCCAGGGCAGTTCAGGCAAGGGACCCATCTCCAACTGGTCAGCCACATGGAGGTCTCAGCTGACCCCATCTCTCCAAGGCACCAATCAGGGCTGAGCACAGCACCATCAGGATGCTGGCGTCTCATCCAGGATCCACTTTTTTCCATTCCAGGGCCTCCCTCCTTCACCCCAGAGGGCCAAAGATGGGGACTAATGCCTGCCTGGAGTCGGGAATGCTCAGCTCCAGCTGTGGGCAGTGCAAAAGTAGCAGTGGAGCATGGGTCACGTCAGAGCCCAACTGCCCCCGCCATAACTGGGCGACTCTGGAATGGGGAAAATTCAACATCAGCACGACTGCCAGATACTTCCTTATCTGATGGGACCTGCTCTCCAGCCTTACCTTGGCACCCTTGCCACAGCCCTGGGAGGCACATGCATGCACCCAGGCAGGCCCATTACCACCTAGGGCAGCAAGCTTTGGCTCCAGAGGCCCTGACCCTATCCCTGCCTCTGGAAACATTGCCCCACTGCCATGAGCATGCGAGTAGAATGTAGCCCTTTCCTACACTCCCAGTGATGACAAGCCAAGACAGGGGCCCTGGGTTCTCCGCTCCCTCAGCCAGAGC